CCTCCTCCTCCTCCTCCTCCTCCTCCTCCTCCTCCTCCTCCTCCTCCTCCTCCTCCTCCTCCTCCTCGGGTCGCCCATACGGTCCCAGGGGAAGCCGTCCACCTCGGCGTGGGCACCGCGTGCGGCGGCCGGCCAAGGGGCGAAGAGTCGAAGAAGAAAGGACGCCATAAGCGAGCAAGCAGTGGCAAAGCGTCCTGGCGTGCGTGCAGGCCCGCCAGAAAGAATGTTCTGAGAGCTTCTCGTGGTCTGCACGAGATGTTCTGAGAACATTTCTGGCTCAGACTGTTTTGCTTTAACAAGTCGGGTAAATGTTCTAAGAACACTGTTTCGTTCTTAGAACATGTTCGCTTTCGAAGAGCATGTCGGAGGCCGTCGGAGGCGAGGCTTGCGGAGGCCGTCGGAGGGCCCTCGGCGTAGGCACCGCGCGCGACGGCCGGCAAGCGGTCAGCGGCACCGGTAGCCCAGCCACCCTCGGGTCCTGCACAAAGTCATGGCGCGGGAGGTTTGTTGCTATTTTCGGCCTCTGGGGGTCCTCGCCGGCCCTCGGGGGCGCCAAGAAACGACTCTCGGGAGGAAGGACCGGCCCAGGGGGATGGGTGGAGACCTCCAGGGGTCGACGTGACGAACAAATCCTGATGTCGGAGGTCTGGGTAAGGGGTACTCGCTAAAATTGATGCGGGCGGTTTTTGGCCGTCTTCGGCCTCCGGGGGCCCTCGCCGGGCCTCAGGAGCGTCAAAACAGAGACTCAGGACGAAAAGCCGGCCCTGGGTAAGTGGTCCGGACCTCCGGAGCCATGCATCTCAGCGGCACCGCAACGGGTACCCACTAACGGGTACTTTCTGGCCATTTTGCCGAAAGATTCCGCTCTAGGGCCTCTTTCTGACATGGCAGCGTTGCCCACGTCGGGAAGGACTGATTTCGCCAGGTTACTGGTCAAAGTGTCCGTTAGTGTTATGATGTTCCAACCTACTTCTAGCTTTGACTAAGAATTTCGATCATCAAGAAAGTACCGAAACTGGAGGGTTTTCACGTGTCGCGCCCAGGGAGGCGACACTCATTCGACACTGTTTCGATACTCTGTCTGGGAGCTCGGAATTCTTTCTGGAATGTGGTCCTTAATTACGCTGGGAGCAGCATACAGTGGGGGCGTTGTTTAAGGAATGCGCCCAGGAGGCTGCAGACCCTGGAGGCTTCCTTGTCTGATGAGGGCGGCGGTGATATCCATGGCCAAGCTTCGATTTGGAGTCCCACCGGCCTCCAGACCCTGGGTTCCTTATCTCAGGGCTCCTCATCCAATGCCCCGACCGCAACGTCAGCGGAGTCCCCGTGAGTGGGCCGCTGAGTCGGCGGCGGAGTTCGGCGGCCAAGGGGCCAAGAGAGTCGGCGGCGGAGCGCTCGGCGCACGGGGCTCCCCAGACCGCCCCGCGCCGCGGAGAGAAGCGCGACGGGGGGTGGTCTCTGCTGCGCTCGGCCTCCGCGGGGCCTTCGCCCGGGCCTCGGGGCCGTCAGGAAGCGGCTCGGGATGCAAAACTTCGAGTGAAGTCGGGCACGTCCCTCTACGGGGCGCGTGTTCAAGGTAGAAAAACAGATTCCGGGCTCCTTGATACGCGTGGGGGGGTGCCCCCCCGACGGGGGTCAACCTCGCCCCGTCATCGCGCCGCGACGGGGGGGGTCGGAGCGCCTGCGGCGCGCGGTGGCTGCCCGCGACGGGGGTCGATGTGGGGTTGTCGGCGGGGGTGACGCCCCCCGACGCTCATTAAGAAACTCGGAGTAGTCTGGGGACGATGTTTCTACCATGTTTGCCTATTTTGAGTTTTTGTTTGGCCAGCTTGTGTTTCTCTTCCCAAATCCGCCTGTAGGAGGACATGCCCGACCTAACTGTAGATGTCAGGCCAGCGCCTTCTGAGAAGCAGGGGTGCTTCTGAGAAGCCTCTCCCCCTCCCCCTGCCCCCTGGCGCGCCGCCAACTCTGGACGCCCGAAATCGGCACGGAGACAATGGGCACGATGTGGAGTCGGCTGGGGGTCCGAGGTGGCCCAGCACTGGCTCCATCGAGCAGGCAAGTGGGGGGGCAGGTTCGAGGCTTTGGAGTCCGAGGGAAGGTTCTGGCCTTCTTCAGTCCCCGGGGGCTGTCTTCGGGCCCCGGGGGACGTCAGGAACGGATCCGGGGCGAAAAATGGCGCAGGATGGACCCTGGGAGGGGTCCGGGGACAGATTTTGATCGGATGTGGCTTCATCCCTCTCCTGACTGAGTTTCGGGGGCCCCATAGCCAGTTCAGAGCCCCGGGAAATGAGCACGATGCCCAACAGCAGATGTTGTCCGAAACCGACAGCGGCCACTGTTGGTCAGGCGGCCTTCTGTCTCAGATGGACAACGCCTGCGACGGCACCGACAGCGAGTAATGCTCGAAATGGACAGGAACATCTGTCAGTCCTCGTCCCCATTCTTTCCGTGCCCATTTCCGATTTTACCCGTAGACGATCCCGCGCCCCGCATCTTGTGAAGTTGGGGCGTGTATACAGCAATGACGCTGGAGCAAGGACCACTCGGGGCCTTAGCTGCCTCCATACGCCCGTTTTGATACGCCACACGTATCACGCGCATATTAATCTCCGTGCCAATACGTTGCGTGTTGGCTCAACGTATGGGCCCACGTTTTGGCGAACGTATCGCGTCAGACCAACGTCATCAGTCTATCGGCGTCACCCCAACATACTTATACTATGTGTTCGTCGCCCCCGCAGGGGCGCCGCGCGCACCGAGAAATCTTATAGTATATGCGTCGTGGCGGGCGCTTTCTGGCCACACCGCTCGGGAAACTGTATACAACAAGATGGGTACACTATATGTTCGGGTTGGACGCGCGCCTCCGAGGCGGATATATAGTATTGGTATGTCTCTGTGCGTCCCAGTCGACGTGTCGAGCTCCGTCTCAAAACGCTACGTGTTGCGTGCTGCGTATCGGGGCAGCTATAAGCTTGGGGCTCACGAGGGGCTCGGGATCCTGTTCGGGCCGTGCCTCCCAGCTGAGGGTCGGGAAGCCTCCTCGTGGCCGAGGCTCGCCGTGGCCAGCAAGGCGTGCTCGTTCCTTGTGTGGCGTCCCTCCTTACAGTTCAGTCGGGCGTGTCCCTCTACAGGAGGAATTTTCAAAAATAGTCGAAGAAAAGGGTAGTCTGGGGAAGATGCTTCTACACTTGTTGACTGTTTTTGCATACATATTTGGGATACGTTTCATTTGTCCTCCAAAATCCGCCTGTAGGAGGACAGGCCCGACCTAACCCTGTAGTGCGGTGACTGAACATCGAGCCCCTTGGCCGACCAGGCGACCCGGTGCGTACTGCGAGGTGCCCCCCAAGGCCTGCCGCTGGCGTTCTTCCTGTCTCTGGGGAGGACCGCGGGGCGCCAACCGCTCGAGGGCACCCCCAAGAGGGGCGACTCCGATTGCTCCTCCTCCTCCTCCTCCTCCTCGTCCTCCTCCTCCTCCTCCTCTTCCTCCTCCTCCTCCTCCTCCTCCTCCTACTCCTCCCAAGAGGGGCGACTCCAATTGCCCCGACGACACTCAGGGGGTTCAGACGTGGCCTCGCAGTCGAGTGCTCGAGGTCGTTGGCATCTCCTCCTCGGCGGAAGGCCAGCGGATTTGACACAAGGGCGACGCCGCCGGCGGAAGCCGTCGGAAGTCAACCCGTGCGCCCTGATGGATATGATGGCATGGTCTTGTTCGGTTCAGGGCTTCTGGAACGAGCCACGTGTGTCCCCGACTGCCTCGACAGCACTTGGGGAACCTCTTGCTCAAACACAGTCGAGCGAGTTGAGGCAAGCTTCTCGTCGACGGTTGGCCACAGCAGCTTGCGTGTCCATGAGAGACCCCCGCTCCGACCCCGAGAGGCGCCCTCCCTCTCTTGATGTCCACCCTTTTGTGGGTGCCCCGGTAGTTCGGCGATGATGATGGCGGCAAGCTGGAGGCTGTGCTTGGCTTGAAGACACGTACCATCGTGTGCATATGACGTTCGGCTGCTGCCGTGCGTCAGGGGATCTGTGCGCCCCAGGCCGCGTTTCGACGGCCCTTGTTGCTCCGTCAACAAAAAAAAACGCTCCGACCCCGAGAGGCTGGCGATGGAGGCCCCCTCCAGAAGCAGAGACCGACGCGCCAGCGGGTGCCCCACGGAGACGTCTCACTCCGCCACGGCCCTGGGGACCCAAGCATGCTCGCGAAGTATACTCGCAAAGCGCCTACTCGCAAGCGTCCGCAACAACAAAGGTCTTCCCACATGTCGTGGAGCGTGAATCCCCCGCGACGGACTCCGGCCATTTGCGAGCAGCCTTTGCGAGCAGTGGGTGCTTCAATTCGGCGGCGAGCCCCGGTGTGGAAGTGAGGAGGGGCGGGCCTCCTTCGAAGGCTCAGAGAAGGTCCCCCCCCACCCTGACTCCGGATCCGCCCTACTTTGGGAAATTCGCAAGTGGGGCTTGGAGTTCCCGCCCTACTTTTCAAGCCCCGCTGAGGCCAATTTCCGCCCTGCTCTTCTGTGGCTGCTTCCGCCCTGCTTCCGTGGATGTCCGCCCTATTTTATGTTGGGTGCAGAAATGTCCGCCCTACTTTTTCGGCTTCTTATAGGTGGATTCCCGACGCAGTTTTAAATTGGACAAAAAAAGAAGCCAAAGTAGGACGGATCTGGAGTCAGGGCAAGGTCGGCAGCACGTGAGCGAAGGAACCAAAGCGGCGTCGTCTGCGCGGACACTCGCGCGCGAGCTTCCCGCGTGCGGTCGCGCGAAGGCGCCCGCTTCTCCGCGGTGTGCCGCGCCGGCGGGCCGCGTACGCCGTGGCGCAAGGTCGCCCTGACTCCAGATCCGCCATACGTTGGCTTTTTTCCAACTTAACATGGCGTCGGAGATCCACCTATAAGAAGCCGAAAAAGTAGGGCGGAAATTTCGGCACCCAACATTAAATAGGGCGGAAATCCACAGAAGCAGGGCGGAAGCAGCAACAGAAAAGTAGGGCGGAAATTGGCATCAGCGGGGCTTGAAAAAGTAAGGCGGAAGTTCCAAGCCTTACTTACGATTTTCCCCAAAGTAGGGCGGATCCGGAGTCAGGGCGGTATGGTTTCCCTCGTAAGATCACCGTCTTTTTCGTCGCACGACCTCTCGTGGCGCCAACATCGCAGAGCGGACTTCGCTTGGAAAACGACAGGATGGGCCTGGAGTGTCCTGGAGAATTTCGTTCCGGATTTCGAGGTGAATTTCGTGCGGATTGTTTTGGCCAGGAATGAAGACTTACAAACATTCACGCGAAATTCATACCGTTTTTCATTCGCCGTTTCGGGGTTTTGCGATGGCAGAAATCCACGGAAAAATTCGCTGCAGCACGTCTGCAAGGTTGGTGCAGTGAGACTTCTCGTCGCCTGCGTCAAGTGTACGGTCGGCGCGTTCGGCAATGTGCCCACGCGACTTCAGAATCTGTATGACCCCTTATTTATCGGATGGGGCTAGCGGCGATGCCCACGGCCAAGCCTCGGCTGGTATCCCGCCGGCTTCCAGACCCTGGCTTCCTCATCCAATGGCTCTTTATCTCGGGGGCAACGATCGGGGGGATGGGCAGCCGATGGGCATGCCCTGACTCCGGATCCGCCCTACTTTGGGGAAATTCGTAAGTGGGGCTTGGAATTTCCGCCTTACTTTTCAAGCCCCGCTGATGCCAGTTTCCGCCCTACTTTTCTGTGGCTGTTTCCGCCCTGCTTCTGTGGATGTCCGCCCTATCTTATGTTGGGTGCCGAAATTTCCGTCCTACTTGTTCGGCTTCCTATACGCGGATGTCCGACGCAATTTTAAGTTGAAAAGAAAGCCAAAGTCGGGCGGATCTGGAGTCAGGGCTGGGGACCCACGCCCGCCCTTGGACATGTGTTGCAGGACTTGGCAAGGTCGGCAGCACGTGCGCGAAGGAACCGAAGCGGGGCCGTCTGCGCGGGCATCCGCGCGCGAATTTTCCTTCTATCTCGGGGGCAATGATAATGGAGGATGACGATTAATAAATGCCCGGGGGTCGTGTTCACGCGGCGGCGCCCCGGATGACGATTAGAAAAAACCGGCCGCGTGCTGGAAAACTATGTTTTACATCGTTCTCCTCCAGTCAGAAAATTGTGCAGAAATAACAGAAAACTATGTTTCAATCGTTCTCTCCCATTTTTTTATGAATCGTCATCCCGCATTAGGGGGGATGGGCAGCCGATGGGTATGGGGGGGGGGGGAAGCATCGACCCCCCCCTTTGCCCATGGATCGCCGCTGGGGGCCCCGACGGCCCCGGCGCGCCCCGAGGGAGGCGCGGCTCCGCCGTCGGTGGCCTTGCTCGCCGCTCTCTCGGCGACGCGCCGCCCGTCCTTCCGGGTCGATGCCTCCCCCCTCCCTCCTCCCTCCTCCGTCCGTCCGCCCTCCTCCCCATTCTCGTTCCTCTCCTCTTTCTCCTCCTCCTTCTCCTCCTCTTCTTCCTCTTGGATCGCCGCTGGGGGCCCCGACCGCCCCGGCGCGCCCCGAGGAAGGCGCGGCTCCGCCGTCGGGGGCCTGCCCGCCGCTCTCTCTCGGCGACGCGCCGCCCGTCCTTCCGGGTCGATGCCTCCCCCCCCCTTTGGCGCCAGGCCTTGCTTTTTCGGTCGCGTCCGCCAGCGAGAGCGCCAGCGGAGTCAGAAGCGCTCCGGGACACGGAAGCGGCCTAATTGGCTACTGAACGCGCCGCAGGCCGGCCGGCCCACTCACCAAGCAGCGGCAGGCTGCGCGGAAGAGCTGGCAAGCTGAGGGCGTCCAGGGAAGCTCAGGCACTTGCAGCCCAGCAAAATGCCGGGGCGCCAGGCCTTACCCGCAGACGCCCGAAAAAAAACACGGGTCTGCCGCGGCGCAGGGCAGCGTGAAGCCCCCCATGGCGGATCCAGGCCACCTGCGAGCGGCTATACCCTGCGAGCAGTGCAACGCGCGTGCCCAGTGCCAGCCCCCTTCCCCCCCCCATCGCTGCCCCGCGTCGGCCCTCACGGATCGATCCAGCTGGAGACGTGGCGCAGATTGATGGGGTCTGGGGCTTCGGTCCTGATTTTCTACGATGCTTCAACTGTTTCGCGCCGTCGGGTTTCAGGGATTGGGCGTTGCTAGAGGTGCTTTGGGATCAGCGGTTCGCGCGAGGTTGGGCCGATCTCCCACGCGGATCGACCCGCAGCTCCCGCCGCCCACAAGCACTACCTTGGCGAAGGACCCACAGTATGCAATTGTGAGCACCGCGGTTGTGCATATCTTCTTCGGTGGCGCTTCCTATGTGGCCTCGAAGCGCTGCACTGGGCGGGGGGTGAACGTGTGAGGCCCCCGCGGCCTCCAGAGCACCCCATCACGGGCCTCCGGGGGGCCCGATGGGGCTCCAGACTGGAGCTCGAAAGAGACCTGCGACGCCCGGAGCCTCCGGGGCGGTCCTGCCCACAAGGACCGGGTTCGTCTCGGAGGTTGATGGACTTCCTACCCTGACGTCGATGAAGGAACTGGCCGTTTTCGGTTCGCGAGAGGGCGTCGCGGCCGTCATTTTTGCGGGTCCAGGTGCGTCGGTTTCGGCCCTGGGCCGTTTTCACTAAGGGGAGGTTTGCTAAAGGGAGGTTTGCCCACCGCCGTTCGCCCCGAGCCGTTTGCTGCCCGTCCTGGGACCCGTGGAGGGCCAGATTGGGAGAACACGAACAGCGAAACACCTCGGGGCCCCTCTCCCTCAAAGACCCGCTCCCTTCGTGGCGGCCCCCGCTCCCAACCAGCCCGCCCTCCTCTGATCGGCGCCCAGCACCTTCCCACAGCCCAGCGTGGGAGGAGGAGGAGGAGGAGGAGGAGGAGGAGGAGGAGGAGGAGGTGACATGGCAAGGGACGCGCTGCGGAACGAACAGGGGGAGCGCCAGGGAACAAGCCACGGGAGCGCGACAGAGGACGAGCCGGGCGACGCGCCGAGGGGGGCTGGGGCATTACGCCGTCCCGCCTCTGGGGAGGAAGGAGCCCAAGTGTCTTCGCGCTTGTCCCGCGCACCTAACTGTTCGCGCGTGTGCTCGCGCCAGCGTGTGCGCGTCCACCGAGGCCCTCCCGTGCGACGCCGGCGGCACAATGGAGGGCCGGCACGGGCGGCGTGCGGGCGGCGGAGCCGAGCGGTGTATAAACACCTATAGTGTGGGCGGCGCTCTTGGGTGAAGGGGCCCTGGGACACAAATACATACACACAAATAAAAAGGATTCCCCATATTTTCCCATATTCTCTGGGTGTCTGTCTGCCCCCCCATTGCCCATATTTTCTTGGGGAATCGACGATTAATTGTGTCTGTGTGTTTTTTCTCCTCCTGATTGGGGAGGGAATTGAGGAGGGGCGGGCCTCCTCGGGCCTTCTAAAACACTTCTCTGAGCCTTCCCTGAAGACGCAGAAGCATGTTCAGAAGGCCGGAGGGCACGGAGACTCCCCGCCGTTTTCTGAGAAGGCCTCCTTCGTCTCGCTGCCACCCCTCGCTCGCCGCCGATAGCGGGCTAACGCACTCCCTGAGCATCGCTCCTCCGACCCCCCTCCCAACTTCGTGGCCTGGGGCCCACTGGCCGATTCGTCCCCCCAGATGGGGATACAGGCCGTTGCCTTCGGGCTTCGAGGGGGGTACCCCCGGCTGGGGTGGTGAGGTGGTGGGGGTCTGAATGGGGATGAGGGTGGGGGTATGGGGCCGGTGAAACCACACCCGAGAGAACCCCGCGCCCAGGCCAGTCCTGGGCGCCAGGCTGGCGTGCGCGCCCGCCCTGCCCGGGCCGACGTGGTGTGGAGCGTGACGACCTTGCGCCCGGGCTCGGGCCTGACACCGGGATCGGAGTCGGCTTGCACAGCGGACGCGGGCGATGAGAAAGTCGTGCTGCCATCGGCACGGAGTCACGCGACCGAGGAACGCTGCACGGCTTCCCGCGACATTTTGGCTTTCGCCGATCGGCGTGCGTCTCGCCAGAGACCCTCGGTGGTTGCTGGAGGTTATTAATCAGGGATTCCGCCCCCCAGTGCACTCGGAGAACGCGGTGCCGCGCGCACCCGTGGGGAGCCCCCGCAGGCTTCGCGAGCAGGCGCCTCGCTGAAGGGGGGCCCCGCCGATCCCCGATCGGAGAGGAGGCCCACAGAGGTCCTCCGCAGAGGCCGGGGGCCCTCGCGGAGCCCCTCCTGGCGAGGCCTGCCCCTCCCTCCCCCCCTCGTGCCCGCCGCCCCCCCCTCTCGTGGGGCGCGCCGCAGAGAGAGAGAGAGAGGGGCCCCTGCTTGTGCGGCCGTGCCGCCGCGGAGGGGCGCCGCCCACCGCGCCCTGGGGGGCCCCCTCTCCTCCCGGCCCCGCCAGCCGCCGGCGCGGGGCAGCGATGGATCGAGTAGGAGAACAAATGCAGAATTGATCTACCCCCCAAGTGGGTTTGTTCGTCGAATCGCCGAAGGAATACGCAGCAGCCCGCGAAGGTGCTACTTTTTCCCGTCTTGGTGCGGCGGTAAATCAATTTCGGGGTAAATCGATTATGCGATTGATCCCCTGCTCTAACGGAGGGGGGAGGGGGGCGGACTGGCACGGAGGGGGGGATGCCCTGACTCCAGATCCGCTCTACTTTTTGGCCTTTTTCCCAACTTAAAACTGCGTCGGGAATCCACCGATAAGAAGCCGAAAAAGTAGGGCTGACATTCCTGCGCCCAACATAAAAGAGGGCGGAAATCTACAGAAGCAGGGCGGAAGCAGCCACAGAAAAGCAGGGCGGACGGTGGCATCAGCGGGGCTTGAAAAGTAAGGCGGGAATTCCAAGCCTTACGAGTTTCCCCAAAGTAGGGCGGATCCAGAGTCAGGGGGGGCAGCGATGGAGAGGGGAGGGGGGGCGGACTGGCACGGAGGGGGGGATCGCACCGGCCTGGCGTCGGCGACACGTCGTCGACAGATCGGCGAGTGGGCCCCCGACAGCGGAGCCGCCCCTTGTTCCGGCGGGCCGGGGGCCATCCGGGCCCCCTATCGGCCATCCACGGGCGAGGGGGGGGGGGTAGATGCCTTCCCCCCCCCCCCATGGACCATGCCCAATCCCCCCTCTTGTCGTCGCCCCCGATGCGAGGAGCTGCAGCAGGGACGGGATCCGGAGCCTCCTCACGAGCGACGAGTCCGTGGCCGACGCCCTGGCAGAGTGCATCTGGGAGGGGCTGCGCGGGCTGAGCCAGGCTCGGGCGGGGCCCGGACCGGGCCAGGCCGTTCCAGAGCGCTCCAGAACACTTCCGGGAGGGAGGGGGGGACCGAGGAGGAGGAGGAGGAGGAGGAGGAGGAGGAGGAGGAGGAGGAGGAGGAGGAAAGAGGAGGAAGAGGAGGAGGAGGAGGAGGAGGAGGAGGAGGAGAACGAGGACGAGGAAGAGGAGAACAACGCAGGTGTCTGCCAGCTCCCGATCAACGAGCTCTGGCCCTTGTGAAA